AACATAAAATATTTGACAGTTACGAAACTCGAAGTTTTGAATTCGTTGTGGCCTAAAGGATAAGACGTCTGGTGCATTCGTATCTAGCGATACACCGGTGCTCAAATCTCGCAGACGGGTATCAATTTTTCTAATGAAATACGTAATTAACAAATGTTCACGATTGACCTCCACGGTGAAGGAATAACGTCGTGTAATAAAAATCAAGCCCGCAAAATTATAATTTGCGTAATTACTGGTGGTAGGACCAGCTGATGTGAGTCCGTACGGGTAAGTACCACCACCCTGTCTGTTTCTGCCGTGAAGTAGTAATGCGTTTCGTCTTGAAGGATGAAGAACTTATATCTCAAGGTGGGTGGCGAATTCCCTTTGTAAATGTCTATGGACGCCAGTAACCAGGTAGGCTGTGAGCTCGTCCACGCATTTAAGCAATAAAAAAAAAGTTTTAAGTTATTCTCTATTCGGGACGGTGACAAACACAACAGATCAAAAACTATGAAAATCGGTTCAGCCGTTCTCGAGTTATAAGTGTTCGAACAAACCCGACTTTGTTTTATATATAATAAATGTATAGTTATAGATATATAAATAGCCACAAGACAAACAAAATCAAAACTTGTCGGATCGGAGGATCACGTCAAAACGAAGATCCTGAATAACTAAAAAAAAGTCTCTGTAATCAAGAATCGACATTTAAAATAGTGACTTAAAAATTAAATAATAAAAACTAGGTAAAATGATGAGGCTATACATTTGAATACTTCCTTTCCTTACGTGATATTTTCTACAAATCAATTCTTACCGCAAGGCGCGGTAAGTAACTAAAGCTAAAGCTAAATTAAGTATAACATAATATTAATATGGCATATAAATATGTGTATATTAATATTAATACATTTATTACCTTAACAATGTAGAGCTACTGCTTAAGTTTGAACCTTAAAATAACGGCCATGTAAACTTTACGGCATCTTAATCTAATCGAAGCTTGTGCTTTTTTGAAAGATGCAGCCACTGTGGCCATTGCTGAATTCACATAAAATTTGTTCGCGACCGCGAGGCGTTGATCTTCGACAGGTTCTATCTTATTCATTTATGTATTAACGAATTCATTTTATGTACCTATTAAATTTTATTTTTGATTTATTATTGACCATTTGGAAAAAAACTATCCCTAAAAATGTGGTTAGCGTAAAAATAAAACTAGAGAAAGGAAATAGGTTGAAAATCAGAGCAAATAGTAGTTAGCTGTTTTGTCTTTGCCTGTATATGTCTCCCAATGAATTATATTCAGCTATAATGACACCTGAAGATTACAATATTATTAACTATATATTCCTTTTTGTATTGTTATTAACACTTTGAATAAAAAAAGCGAATTATTTCAAAAAGCTTAATGATATCACTAACCCTCGTCCTCAATAGTTACTAAGCAAAATAAAAAGAAAATCGGTTGGCAAACAGAGGAGAAAATAGTATTTAGCTACATATTTTGTTTTTCTCCAATCTATTATATATTAATACGTGAAGCAAAAACTTTGTATTCCTTTTTACGAAAATTACGCGGACGGAGGAGTATGAAATTTTCCACACTTATAGAGAATATAGAGAAGAAGTGCACAATGCTAATATTTTCTTAAAATAATGCATAAAAGATACATTAGATCAATAAAGAAAACATTATACACACTACATACCATGTATTTGACGCACACACGCATGCATACTATTTATTGTCAAACTTTTGTTCTTGACGTCTGTTGTCAAATTGAGAATAGATTAAATATTTTTTGTCTTTGTTAATATTTTTATAGTGTAGTCTTGGCGAACTTTGTGATTAAAGAAGTATAAAATACAACCATAATAGTGTACAAACTTACAATTCCAATTAATTATAGTCGAATTTCGACTACTGCGGGACCTCTAGTCTATTAAATTATAATAATATAGACTATAGTTATACAGTACCCTATTTGTGGTTGTAATTTTCTCACTTTACTTTACCTATCCAAATTATTATTGTGGCCTAGAAATCGGGTATTCAGATCTGGGACAAGAAAGAATTTTATCAAAGAATTTCAGATAAGACCTCAGGATTCGAGGCTTGCTTCGGCAGTCACGTTGTACTTAACGTGCCCTGGAAGCTTTAAATCTAGGCAGCGGTGAGGTCCTCTGTCTATTTTATGTTATTAAAAAAACTCAACTGACGAGTATGCACGTATAAGACTAATGTGGTTCAAATACGCTACATATGTGCTTCGAGTGCAGACCCACCTGGTATTTACCATTAGTGGTGGTAGGACCTCTTGTGAGTCCGCGTGTGTAGATACCACCACCTTGCCTATTTCTGCCGTGAAGCAGTAATGCGTTTCGGTTTGAAGGGTGGGGCAGCCGTTGTAATTATACTTGAGACCTTAGAACTTATATCTCAAGGTGGGTGGCGCATTTACGTCGTAGATGTCTATGGGCTCCAGTAACCACTTAACACCAGGTGGGCTGTGAGCACGCCAACCCATCTAAGCAATAAAAAAATAAGTCATTACTAGAGACCGCAGACACCAAAATGTAAATTCGCCGCTGCATATCTTGAGACAAGTGATCGAAGTTTTAATTGTATTTATAAATTGATTCTTCTATCGTTCAGATCGTAATGTTTCGCTGCAGATAGAAGGTGGTACTCACCAGTGCGAGCTGGCTACAGTCTACGAATGTTAATATTAAGGACTGGAATTCAATGAATTTTGTTTTATGTCTTTGTTTTATGGCATTGTTTAAGCGAATTATCTCGAAAGTTGTTGGATTATGAAACCGTCTGATGATCTTATTTCGTAAACTATATTCGGAAGTTTTTATTTTCTTCAATGAGAATTTTCTTCAATGAACTTATAATGCATATATGTACAAGGACCTAATAATGATGTGACCATATAAAAGATTACCTACATTCGAATTTTTATGAATGAAAATTGTAGTAAATGCATTTCAGTAAATTATTAAGTAACATTTATTCGTTTCTTATTTGTTTTCTTTTTTTTTTCAAAAATACAGTACAATGTCACTACGAAGCTGCGAAGATTTCTGGCTAAAGTCCAAACAGGAGAGTGGCACGTAGAACATGATAAAGAATGATAATGACTCTAGCGATCTGTGTAGTTCATGGAAAATATATAACTTTGAAATAGTTCAGTTATGTAAAGCATAACAAACACTTACTTTTTGATTTGCCTCTTTTTAACATTTGCTATGACGGTAGGGTGTAATTTGAATCCAGTCCGAGCTCTCTTCATTATCCTGGATATTTTTATCACGATTCATAGAATACGTTCCGGTCTCAATCATACGATCGAGTTTGATTGGGGTGATACATAAGAATCAACTTCTCAATGCTTAAATATTCTACCGAGATGAAGGGTGGTATGGGACAGGTGTGAAATTTTTACATTGTTCCTGCGGATAAGCATCTTAATGGCCGGCACGGAATATCTCATTCGGATACCTTCGGCCTGGAAGTTGACTGTAGCTAAATGATGCGCCCTATAGATGTTATATGGCTGCTATTCAAATTTAAGTATGGCGGTGGAAGCCCAAAAAGGCCCAAAGTATTTATTAACATGTATATAATTAAAATAGTCAAGTTATCACGTCTGATTGTCCTGTCTCTATAATAATAAAATATGTTCTTTGAAGTCTTGTAGTAGAGTTTGAATTCTTGTCCAATAGCATCCCGGAAAGTCTATACGCATTAAACACCCACGCCGCTGTTGAATGGCCAAATCGAGTACATAGGAACGACAAAGGGATTTAAGTTAGGTAGGTTCTAAGATCTCAAGTATAGTTACAACGGCTGCCCCACTCTTCAAACCAACGCATTACTGCTTCACGGCAGAAATGGGCAGAGTGGTGGTACCTACCCGCGTGGACTCACAAGAGGTCCTACTACCAGTAATTACGCAAATTATAATTTTGCGGATTTGACTTTTATACACGATGTTATTCGTTCACCGTGGAAGTCAATCGTGATCATTTCATAAGTATAACATTAGAAAAATTGCCGGATTCGAAACCCGGCACCGTTGCATCGCTTTAGGCCACAACGATTTCTAATTACTTCTTTTTGGAATTTACTCCTCAAGGATCGATTTGATTAAAGCCCCTCTCACTGAAGATTTACCTGCAGCATAATCGGACTTTAAAAAAGAATATTGGAAGCAAATGTGAATCAAAGTAAACATCATTTAATCTTTGAACTGAATTTCATAAATCTGATAAGAATATTTATGTGATATGAATTTTGAAGAACAGTTTATTTTCTCCTATCTTTTCTTCAGCAACAATTGTATTAAAATTTAAAGAATAAACTACAAACAAACAAACACGCTCTGGAGTTGATACGCAAATTTTATCCGATTTTTAATAATTTATATTTATAGTCAAGCTCTACGAAATACCTAGAGATGTAGCGTTTTTAACGTAGAACAAACTAATTTACAACTCGATGACTTTGATTTAGGGATAAGACTTAAATAAGTTTATATTGGTTTAAATATCGTGTTTATTCTCATTGTAATTTAAATTCTTTTCATTATTCTTTAGATCGCAATAGTTTAACAATATCCGTTACTATATTGAAAGAGTGTTCTTTTCTGACTAATAAATTGTAGAGCTTTACAATTTCTTAATAACTTAGAATCAAAAACCCATCAAGAAATTTTCAATTTATTAAAAATAATTTCTTGAACACAACATTAGACCCTCGGCATCTCATCCAATAAAAATCCTCATTGAACTTAATTAAATCAAAACGTGTGCACCCGTGGTAGAGATACAGTAAAAACAGCTTTTGACAGCTCGGCTTCGCAGCTTATGCGAAAATTTATAGAAAATTGCATGGTATGAGCGTTGCGCTCATAGGGTGCGCGGAAACTCTGGGGGTGGATAGGAGCGTATTTAGAAATAGTAACTACAGCCACTGACTACTGCCAGTCTTCGCTTGGTGCGCGGTCCGTTAACACGTGTCCCGTCTTCCCTTACTCCGACGGTCTCGATCGTAATAAATTGAAATTAATTAATACACTCGTGTGTTCTGTGCATCGAACTGGATTTTTATGTTCCGTGTGAATGTTGAACTGTGGCTTTGGCTCGTTTCAACGCTGAAGGACTGTTTTTGAATATTAATGGTTTAGTGGACTTAAGGTACGTACTTATGGTTTGTGTTGGTTTAAATTTTAATTAGTAGCGCAACGAATATCAAAGGGAATGTCGAGGCTCATTCGCACTCGATTTAATTAGGAAATATTATGTGTTTTTTTTATAAAATGTAGAAGCTTTTTTTCTGTTACGTTTTACTTTTTAAATAAAAAATTTAATTCTAGCGTTTATAGGATGAAACAACAACATTGTCAAAGTCCATACAAAAACCTGTTCAATTAAAATTTAACTTTGTGCAATTGACCTTTATGACAAGTGTCAACCATAAGGTCGAATTTAACACGCAATTAATTTCACCTCTACATTTGTACTTAACCCAATGTTAAATTAAAAGTTTATTAACACCGTGCACAGTTTTTCTCATTGGAATACGATATTACCCAATGTTGTATACTCATAAGTGATTGCGTGTTATTTTAGGCTTCTTTACATATCCAACGCGATAAGAAAGTTGATACACAGCTGAAGGCAATTTATTATTTCAATAAAACACTCGGAACATCAAATATCAATGAATTATTGCATCTCGCCGATAAAACGCCGTCTTTAATGTTATTTCATGTGTCTTATCTATAACACATTTCCCCTACTACAACATCGTTAAGCTCAAGATCCAAAATATTGGTTACAACTAAATTATATTGAATTTTAACTTGTTTTTATTTATTTTAAATCGCTTTTTATATGATGCTATGATATGTTTTCCAATATTATAAGTTGTTACAATTCCTTTATTTCGTCTAACCAGATTTAGTCACTTTGCAAGGAAGATAATTTTATTCTTATTTTTTCTTAGAAGCTTGGTTTCAAGTTTCGTTTTCAATTTCTGATTAAACACATTATAGATAACCGTCTAGATATTTAGAAGAATATAAGTTTGACTGTTCTTAACTAGTGGAAGTTGATTGTTTCTAACGTCCAGTTTGTTGCAATTGAGTCCTTAACGTAAATAATTGGTCGTTTCCTGCGGAAATGATATCCTTTTTGGGTTAAGTTTTACGTATTTCGTGCGTCACCATTATTCGATTGGCCATTCAACGATTTTAAGCATTAATGTAATTTAAAATGTTCGAGTATTAAAACAAAATTTACACCAGTTCGCAGAAGATTTATGAGATCTTCATGGGAATTGTCGGTCTCAGAGCTTTAGGTTGTAAACATACGCGTCAAGTCAACGAGTGAAAATCTATTTCTTCCTGTCTGCTAACTGTAAATCAGTCTTGTTTTATATCGATTTTAACATACTTTTTTTCATGGTTTTAATTGTGAAATCGTAACATTCACACAGAATTTTGTAATGAACAGACAGACGGTCCGTGATATTTATAGTAGCGATAATAAATTAAGTTAATAAGTGTTGCTGAAGTCATTAAATGATAATAAGTTTATATGCATGAATGTAAATATCTAAAGTCGTAATGAAATAAATAAAGTCTTCTAGTAAACTAAGCTTTACAAAGTTCGTTAAGTTTTTGAGATAGTTGTTAAGCAGTTTATTTCAAATATTTATCGAACATAAAAGAGCTTTGAGCGCCAAAAGCACCAACAAGGACCAAATTGTAATATCTGCCCTAATTTATAGAAATTTTCACTGAAAAAGATGTACACACGAATTAAAATAACCCTTTATCAATTTTAGTTTTAGCGATAATTAGTCAACCATGATCCATGCGTTTCTAGATGTTCAAGGCAAGTTAAATAAATTCTAATTAGTTCTTGAGTTCGTTCGAGAACCCACTATAGGGGTATCTCGGCATTGTTTGTTTACATTTTACAACAGTATCGGGGGAGCAGTATATTTCATTACACCACATTTTCTAACGCAATAAATTTAATTATTTCTAATACAGGTGCTTCTTTTTTACGGAAATACATTTTAAGATTATACTGTTTAATAATGTGAGTTCCATATATGTAATTGTTATTTACGACTTCAATACAAAACGTGTTGCCGACAATAATAACTAGATTGCGTAAGAGCGGAGATAATTTAAGTTTGTTTTTTTTGTTGGGCATGCGGCATGCCCGCTAACACGTAGCTTTCTGATAGATTACATACGAGTAAGTAATATAGTGAAATGAAGAAATTTGGGTTCAACTAAGATTAGTACTAGTCGTACTGTTGTATTTATTAGTATGATTATATCTAAAATACGTAAGTAGGGATAATAACTAAAAAAAGGGTGCGTGTACTTATGTACGCGCGTAAGAAGTTATACTTTATTATTATTAAATTATTTTTTTTTTTAAATATTAAATAATTAATAATAAATATTTAACCTTAATAATTTAATAATGTTTAGTATGAATTATATTAAATAATAATTTTGTCATTTATATTAATTACTAAATAATACATACGGATAGTTAACCTCAATTGTATTGGAGCACTTGCGGGCAACTTCATTTCTGTTAATTTTGTGTCACGGTGCGCGCGCATCGTAATATTTCACTCATCAATTTTTCATAACGCGCCTAAAGAAGTATAACTTCAAAAATTCGCTGTTGAATCTTTTTTTTTGTTATAATAGCCACTGTACGCAGGTGAACATACGGCCCATCTTATGGTCACCATCGTTCACGGACGTTGGCAACGCTATGGTCAAAGGCAAGCCGTTGTCTACTACTTACCCTATAACTAATGGGATACCTATTATATTTCCAGAACTACCGTGCCAATTTCACGATTCAAAACTTCTGATCCTTAAAAGATGTTTCTACATCATTTGTGTTATCTAATTCCGTTTCATTGCGATCCGTAATTCAGTTTACTATGAAACAAAACACCATTAGTCATATAGTTAAAAAGTATCACAAATAAAACCGGAAAGAGGCGTATCGACAGACATTATTAGCCGGTCAACTAATACGGAAAGGTCACGAAACTTCGTACAAGCCGGCGTCTTGTTTATTGGCTAATGTTTTTCCATGTAGAAACATTAGATTTTCGGTCACCGAACTTTCATATGGCGGAAATGCGCAAGGAATTTCCTCTTTGAGTGGTCGAAGTAAAATTTCGTGTTCCGACAGCCTTTGGTACGTTTAAGAACATACGAGATTCAATTTGTAAGCAAGTGTGCATTCCTGGCTTAACCGGACCGTACGATAGATTCACTGTTTCACATACTCGGAGATAGATTTACCTATTGCTTTGTCTCGCAACATTGTTTGTGTTACAGTCTGTGGAGTACACTCCTATAACGTTTTCAATGAATCGTGCAGAGTTTAGTTGTGTTGATACGTTTATCAAACCTTATACACCTTTTATTATTCATAAAACAATAAAAAACTGTATTGTTATATATTAATTTAATATTATTTAAGTTATATATTAACAACGGCTGTCTGGTGTAGTGGTAAGTGACGTGGTCACTACACAAGGGGGTCGCGGGTTCGAATCCCGCCAAGGGAAGATATTTGTATGATAAATATAAATGTCTTTTCCAGGGTTATGGATGTATATTAAATATATGTATGTGTATAATAAAAATCAACGCAAGTTCTTTACGAACTTATCACGGGACCAGTTAACGTGGCGTAATTGTTAGTAAATATTTATTTATTTATTTATTAAATCTTCAAAATTCGAAATTATTAAATATTTGTTTCAAATATCTCCAATGTTATGAATAACGGAAATATGCAAATACATTTTAAGTACAAAGTCACCGATAGTCCAAATTCCCAATGTCTTAAAATAAGCTTTAGATTCCAACCGGGAATATAATATGAACCCCATGGTACAGTGGACAGAATCACTAACAACTGAACCAACGAGCCGGTGAAGTCAAATTTCGAAGTAGCCGACAAATCACTGAATAAATAACACGATGCAATTCAAAATTAAAAAGCTTATTAAATATTGAGTACTACCCATTATCATAATAAATACGTTATGTTTGTATATCGGTTAAACAAACTAGCTGACTAGTTTTCCAATTAAAATTTCAAAGCGACGAATACGGTAAAACTTTATCGATGAACAAACATGTACGTATAAAATTTCCCTTGAACATTTTGTGGAACTAACTTAATTAAGTTATTGGAAATGCGAAAGAAACGACGCCCATAGCAAACACCGACAAGCAATTATGAAGTAGATTCAAAGTTTCCGTCAATGTGTTTATTTTATAATCAATAATAATCAGAAACAATGCATAAAGATTCGTTTAAAGACAAATTAATCGGTCTAAAATTATAATATTAGTTATAGTTTTATTTGTGTCTTGATTTTTTCGTGACAACTTGAAAATTTCTCACGTGTCACGTCACGTATGTATGTACTATGTACACTAGAGTCGTCGTGGCCTAAAAGATAAGACGTCCGGTGCATCCGTATCGAGCGATGCACCGGTGTTCGAATCTCACTGGCGGGTACCAATTTTTCTAATGAAATACGTACTCAACAAATGTTCACGACTGACTTCCACGGTGAAAGAATAACATCGTGCAATAAAAATCAAACCCGCAAAATTATAATTTGCGTAATTACTGGTGGTAGGACCTCTTGTGAGTCCGCGCGGGTAGGTACCACCGCCCCGCCTATTTCTGCTGTAATGCGTTTCGGTTTGAAGGGTGAGGCAGCCGTTGTAACTATACTTGAGACCTTAGAACTTATATCTCAAGGTGGGTGGCGCATTTACGTTGTAGATGTCTAAGGGCTCCAGTAACCACTTAACACCAAGTATGCTTTGAGCTCGTCCACCCATCTAAGCAATAAAAAAATAAAAATAAAATACTTTCGCAACACCAAGCCCATGCTTCTTTTATGAACTAAAATCCTGCATTTTTTAACAGTAACATTGAATTTAAATAGAAACCAACGGACGAAGGCAGTTCTCTATTGTACACCATAAAAATACCACAATCTTAAATCACCAATATTCAAAAACCCGAAACCACTTAGATCCAAAGTGGATTGATTCTAAACATTCCCTAATAAAACAACTTTTACTGCCCGTATGTATATCATAGTTTCTATATCG